GTTGGAAGCACTGTCTGACGCGTCTGCCTCCGCGACCTGAAAGGAGAAGCGGCGATGGAAGATGAAGATGCGTCGTGCGATTTAATACCGCAATTTTTCAAACCTTTTCAATGTAATCGAATAAGTGGTCACATTTGAGTGTTATGTTAAATCGCCAGCAGCCCTGAGAGAGCAGCGAAGAAATTTTCAGTAGAAACAGGAAACACAGTTGGTAAATTCGCTTAGGCGAAGGCTATTAAAGTGATGACCTTTCGAAGCACAGGAGAAAGTAACAAAATGAGCAAAACCGAAACGAATGCCAAAGTGCTACACTTGTTCTTAAACATTACTGCATTTACATAACTGACAGTGTGTTTACAAAGGCGCCATCGCCTCGTGCTTAAAGGCTGCAATTGCTTTTTCCAAACCGCGTGACAGCGCGAAATGTGTTCAATAACTTGTTGATTTGTGCCAGTAGTCAAGTTTCTTACAAACGACTGAAAGATGGTATCAGTTTCAAGCCATCTTAGGAAATATCGAGATGTAGTAATAAAAGGCCAGAACCTAAATTGAGGATGGACGAAACGTATTCAGATTGAAATTCACTCAGTGAAATATTAATCTTTCTCATCTCTCTCTTTGAATCATTCTGAGAGGCGGACCAAATTCTAATAATTTATGAATGCTTTATGAATAATCTGCCCTACCGTAGCAGTAAAAACATTCTTAAAAATTTGTAACGAATAATGTAGGTTTTTATGGTGACAAGCTGTTATACTTTACCTGAATAAATTCGATTTTTTCGCCATCGTCCGATTACGTATTTTCCTGAAAGCTGCACAACAGGAATCAAGATAATTTTAGCTCTCTCATTTTCATATATTATATTTGTGACTTCATCTTTTCTAACGTGCTTAAAACTAGCATTGGGAGAAATTTCCGGTAGGCTGGGTATTATTGTTCTAAGCACCTCTTGCGTTGGTAAAGCATATAAGTCATATCATGGCGATAGTGACAAATAACAAATGCGCTGCCTTTTTAAAGTGATGAAAACGTCAATGTACGACTATTGTAAACTTTTACCTAAAATATTTGTGCACATCAGATTCATTTTTTAATAAAATTAGGTCTCGACTGGGGTTTTCAACATCCTCGGCCAATGAAACTTTTATGAGTGAATGCCGCCGAAATGTCGGCCTTCCATGCACTTTCATTATGGGGCCATTCTGATGCCCGTCTTTTCATGAAGTTCATGGTTCGATGCTGATTTCCGTTTTCAGGCAATTAGCCAAGAGTGCTTTATTTTAAAAGCATAATCTACAGACACGTGGCATAAGGTTAAGGTCAGCAGACCGATTGTGTGTCAAAAATAGTTCTGGTAAACAGACTCGGTCTTGACCATCTGTTCTCTCCTACTGATCATCTTGGACCGTTGTAGCGAAATGATCTTTGATTATTCTACATCTACATCGTTCCGAAATGACTTTGTCATGGCAAATTTTTTTCTGCAAGCTAATCCATGTTTTTGATATTTCTAGTCTACAGCCCTGATTCATAAACTTTTCCGTGATCTGAATCAGGAATGCTTCCAACGAGACCCGTTCAAAAATGTTCGATGCCTATGAAATGGACCTTGTTCCAACGAAATTGATGTAGTGCCCGGTCGTATTATGAATATGAACCGGTCCAGAAATTGTGTCCAACATTCGCGATGCTTCTGTACGCGCGACCGCTCGTTTGCTGGCCGTTTGTACTAGAACACGCTGATACGCAGTGGCCATGATGCCTGGCCAAAGTATCGTAGATTTGCGTTTTCAATGGAAATCCGGTATTTTGTTTTCGTTAGCAGTGATCTGAGCTTGCATTCTGACTTGAACACAAGCCTGATGTTCGCTGAGTTCATAATTCGCTGCCAGATTCTGACAGATGCGGATAACGTACATGCAGGCGGTAAATGCAGGCTCTGGCGTCGGCCCTGCTTCGTGTCCAAATCTAAGCGTTGTCGCTTTTAGGACGATTTCTTTTGGATATTGATTTCGCTGTAGCGTCAAAGCATAAGTTGTGGGATCGGGCTCGATCCGGTAGGCATTTTTTGCTCCTGCCTTAATGGCAAGAGAACGGTTAGATCTTAAACTTAAATGGCGATGAATGGCATAGGTTTTCTGTACACCAACGTTTCCATTGAATCATTGGCTAGGCGACTCACTTTACAGTCCAGCGATGAAATTCTGTCACTTTTCTCTTTTTTCGCTGCGAAATGTATTTCCTGTATTAATGTATGCATTTCGACAGGTGCATTATACCCGATTTTCCCTGTGGTCACCTAAGTGCAGCGAATGGCGCTTTTTTTTCAATTCCCATATACCAAACAGCAGGTATCGTTCAGTTAATCTATCAGTCTTGTCGAGAGCTGCAATCCTTCTTTCAACGAACAGACGGCACTGCGTCAAACAACTCTCTCCATGCTTCTGTTTGATTAATGTGGAAAGTAGCCCTTTCCGTCGGTATTTGCATTTGGAGTAAAGTTTTCAGCGAAGCAGCCTGTTTCAGAAAGTACCAAGAGCTTGGCTAATCTTGATTGTCAGCTCTATTAGCCAAATACTGGTCATAAATATACCCTTTCATTTTCTGTTCCCAAACATCGATCATCTAAATAATTTTAAATATTGCATATGAATAACATAGTGGCATTCAATTTGGGTTGAAGGTTTTCATTCAATTGATTCTTCACTGTTAGATCGCTTGCTGAACGACTAATTCAGCCTCATTAGCTATCTTCATTACAACTTTTGTAGTTTTGTCATAACATCTTGTCTCTGATAACATTTTCCCATATTTTCTGATTATTGTCCTGTTTGCCTGAGTCATATCTCGGCAAGACATCTGGTTTTCGTTTGTAACTTTATCCAGCGACCACCTAACTTATTTTTTCAGTCCCTGATTTCTGACTGCAAGGTAATGGTACCTAAATCTGAGGTTGTCTTTCATCGCTCCCTAACGCTACACTTCGTGAATTACCAACAGTTTTTCGGCTGTTTTTTTTACTTTCTCAACCGTTCCACTAAACTGATTAATACTTGAAATGAAACCATGCTGTTGCAGATCCATTGTTAACAGCAAGAAATAAACCAGATTATCTTCATTTAACAACACACCAATGCTCAGACTTCTAACGAACCTCGCTCATCGTTAAAGTACCAAAAACATTTGCTATATAATTGCGTAATCAGTGTGAATATTAATGTGCCTAACAATTCGATTCTAAATATTTTCAGCACCCTTGTGGCGAGCGATGCCTATATGGCCCAAGTGCTAGAATTTTGCCAAATAAAACTTATTTAGTTGTTTCTGGCTATGATCCATTGAACTAGAAGATGTAGGGCACACTATTAATATATGTTTCACAAGTTATTTACTTAGAACTTACAGCTTCTTTCTGTTGTAGCTCTGCTTCATTTTTTTTCAGTAAAAATAAGAGTGAGGTTCAGTATAAATTCAGCGGCCAGCCATAACAAAGCATAGAGTTTGATACGTTTAATAATGATGATTTAGGCCGGGGAATTATGCACGGCGTAACGAATTTGCTACAGTCAATAGCGAGAGATTTAACTCCTCCGATTGGAACCAACCGCCTCAGCGCCGCTCCTTTCAACTTCTGTGCTAATAATCCACAGCAGTGCGCGTACTGGAAGTGTATTGTGGATAATATCAAGAACAGTAAAGAGATAGAGTCGTTAAAGTCAGCAACAAAGATTCTGACTGATCCCGAGCTACGACACGCATTTGCGACAACACCAGAGCTTCAAGAAGCTGCTTGCGATATCCACGGACCAGATGGATTTCAATGCCAAATATTTCGAAGCTTGCTTAAAATTACAGATGGACTTGCTCCAAAAACTAAGACACTGAAACCGTCAGGAAGGAACCACATCCGAACGAAACGTGAGGATCGTGAAGAATTTAACAGTAGTCCAGATTTCGAGGACGTTCCGTTGGATAGGGCAGTTCGCGACATTTACACTGACTATTACGATGGAAAGGTAGCAACGAAATACTCCGCTGCCTATGCTGCAGTTCCAGCGCGCAGTCAAACCCGTCGAATGCGTGACTGCGATGCAATTCTGACTGGCAAAGCCTACTATCCTCAATATGTGCCCAATCTCCACGTCAGCCAACCTCAGCAGAGGAGGCTACAGCAACAACGCAACCGCAAGTTAAGATCTGGCAGGTCGAAATCGGCGGCCCGAAATTAAAGTTTCACTTCTTACGAATTACTGCTCGTGAGGTGACAGGGTTGTTTCAGAAATGGATGCAAACGCTTTGTTAGTTAATAACTTCTGACGGTCATTTTGACATATTATTGATTGTGACTTGCAATTTTATTGGAACATTTTTCGTTGTCTCTAGATATGATCAGTCAATTGAAATGTTTGAAAGCTAAACTTAATCACAAGTATTAAATTTAGAAAATGAATTTGTCAGTGATGATACGGCGCTTCCGCAGAAAGGAAAAGAATCCGAAAACCCTCTGACCCCTTGAATATTGCTCTCATGCATTTATATTATTGGTGTCATATGGCATGCGATACGTAATTTATCTACTATTTTATGCTGCAGATCATAAGTCTCTTATTTGGAGGTCAGACCTACCTTTGTGTCGTATGAAACTTTCTGCTTTTACCATGTAAAGTATAACTCATTGATCTGTTTCTTAAAGATGAACTCTGAATGCGCTCGGCAAGGATCGCCTTTGATTCCAACTTTGTAAGCTGGTTGACTCCAGTTGTGCCATGCTCAGGGCAAATAAATTAGCTTTCACGATAATCTGTTAGTTTTCAAAACTTATGAAGCAGCCATTTTGAGTTTTTGACTCTCGTACCAGGGTCCTCTTGAATTTCCATCCACAACACTTCCTTCAATAACAGAAGTAGCATTTCGCCAGCAGTACAAGGAAAAGCAAATTGGGAAACGCATTGTTCGCGCTTGGTGAAATAATGGCCTTTACTCAGCGCCGCTAATACTAGCGTAGCTGCGTAGCTTTAGGAAGATTGCGGGCTCTGAATCTCCGTCATGTTACTCGTCATAATCCTTCTGAAATAGGTAAACGAAGACCACTAAATAGGAAAGAAACATGAAACTACATTATATTGTAGTCATTTATGTGTAAATATTTCCTTTAAAAACACTATTTCTTCTCTATTCATGTAAACTTGACGGGAATTGGCTACCTGATTATATCTTTCACAAAATACGAACACATTGCATATAAACTCATATAATTCTTAAACATCAAAAGCGCACATGGAATGGCATGAAATCTCTATCCTCCGTTCTTCACGACTTCTACACGTTCAAGTCTGATGAGGTTAAACTGTTAGATTTTGGTTGGTTTGAAATACATTTTCTTTCCATTTCCAAAGCATATCCATCGAAAATTGTCCGTCTCTTCTTGCAAATTCACCGAAATCTGTTTTCAGAATGGGTAGCACAGCGTAAAGCAATTTTCACTGTACTTTCGTCAGAAATGAATACTAACGATTCCTCCCAAACCTTCCGTCCATGTTTGTCAGGAACTCATTTACACCGAGCAACAGTAAGAAGACTCGGCTGTACAGCAGCAGGGAACGGATGTTACTGTTTCGTCTACAGAAACAAGCTATGAAAAACTTGAAAGTGGAAAGGCTGCTGCAATTGACTAAATTCTCCCTGAAATGCTCAAAGCGTTAGGCGAACAAGGCATATGCTGACTTACACGTGTCTGTCAAACTGCGATGACTGCGGGAAAGACACCAGCGCACTGGAGAACGAGAGTTGTTGTACCGTCCATTCAAGAAGGGAGACTACAGGGAGTGCTACAATTATCGGAGCATTGCATTATCGACACTCCCGAGAAAATTCTACGCAAACGTTCTAGAAAGAATGTGCCGCGGAATAACTAACTCCATGATACAAGAAGAGCAGTGTGAATTCCGGCCTGGTCGAAGCACCTCTGACCAAATGTTCGTCCTATGCCAGATTGTTGAGAAACCGTGGGAGTTCGCCCATCCCGTGTACATGTGCTTTGTTGACCTGGAGTAAGCCTATGACCGGATCCCGCGCAACACTTTGTGGGCATGCCTGCGAACATACTGGATGGATGTTCAGTTGCAACGGGCCATCCAATCACTATAGGCTGATAGCGTCAGAGTCAAGTCGAAGCCTTTCAATGTTGGCACTGGTCTCCGCCAAGGCTGCGTCTTGTCGCCTATCCAGTTTGTGTTGTACATGGATAA